TTTTACAAATCTAAATTACTAAATTAAGTTAATTTTCATGTCGGTCGTTATACTCTCAGTAATGGATGTAATCTACATTTGTATATTTTTCGATGCCAAGCTGTAGTAAACAATAATTAACTGTCTTTTAGAACTTAGCTCTGGCCTTAGAAGCTGAAAACAGCTTTAAATCATTCAAATTGTTTTGATTAATTTTTATGTCGGTTGTTACACTCTCAGTCATGGATCTAATCTATTTTTTTTTTTGGGGGGGGGGATAAGTGCCAATCTGTAGTAAACAACAGTTAACAGTGGCGTCGGTGGCCTAGTGGTTAGGCTCTCGGACTCGCAACCGTAAGGTCGTGGGTTCGAATCCTGTCAGGGGCCCGACGTTGTGTCCTTGGGAAAGGCACTTTGCACAAATTTTCCTCACTTCACCCAGGTGGAAATGGGTACCCAGCTATAGACAGTGAAAGATCTTGTCAGTTAGATAGTGTTTGAGCACGTGAAATCCGCAGTTTGCACTGTATGCTTCCGCGGAAGCCGAGTATGTTTCTGAGTGTTCTGAGAGGGTCTGCTGGGGCAATGTAGTTGTAAAGCGCATAGAGCATGCTCTTGAGCATGGATATGCGCTATATAAATGCAATTATTATTATTATTCTTGTAGAACCTAGTTGTGATCTTAGAAGGTAGAAACAGTTTATTGTTTCATCCGAATTACACCGGTTCATTTTAATGTCGGCAGTTTGAAACACAAAAATGAATTTGGGAGGGGGGGCGGGGGTTGTAAAAGTAGTAAGATGCAGTAAATAACAAAATATCTTTATTTTGGAACCTAGTTGTTATCTAAATAGCTGGTAGTAGCTTTTAAAAATCTCAATTACTTTAGTAAGATTTTATTACGGTCGTTACACTCTCTGTCATGGATGTAATATATATATATGTGTGTGTGTGTGTGTGTTTTTGTAAGTGCCAGGCTGTAGTAAACAAGAAATAACTTTCTTTCAGAACTTAATGGAGGTCTTAGAAGATAAAAACATTTCTTTTCACGTAATATCAACGATTGCGATATAATAATAAAATGTAATAATTATACATGTGATATATAACATTTATATAGAGCATATTTCCAGAAAAGTAGCTCAATGTTGTGTCCGACAGGCTGCTCTGCTGTCTCCGAGATGAATTTAGTGTAGTTCTAGTAGAGGTTTTACGGCGCTCGCAACTGCAAAAGGGCATATGAACGCCAGAGGATTAGATGTTTTGCAAGAGAGTAACAAACATAAAAAAGAAGAAGAGGAGATAAGGAAAATAGATGTTCGATAGGAAAGAAGAAGCAAACCACACCAGAGCACCTGCCAACCGCCAACTGTTAAATGAATTATAAAATAAACAGTTTCTTCTGCAGTCAATCAGACATCAATTATTCTTCTCAATGGTCACAAATTAACAGCAACTCACATTTAAGAGTATAAACGCTCTGAGGCACACATACAAACAGGCACGCGCACACACACATACAAACACACACACACACACACACACACACACACACACGCACACAAACATAAACAGAGTCACAAAGGCTCATAAAGGAGAAAGACGGAGGAAAATGGAAACTTGCAACGACACACGTGCAAGCAAACGCATACACAAACATACCCACGCAGATACATATACACGCAAATACAAACGCGCACGCACGCGCGCGCGCGCGCACACACACACACACACACACACACACACACACACACACACACACACACACACACACACACACAATCGCTTAAAATGGGTGGAGAAAGATGGACATAAAAACAAAAACAAAACAGGAAAAGAAA